AGTTGCTGTTTGCCTTTCCTGTCAGTTGATCTAATCCCCAAACCCTTTATCCTGTCTTCCTTTCCTTCATGCGCTCAATAGAGGCTATCAACTGCTTAAACGCAGCCATCGATATATACACAGATATGGTAAGATGCCCAGAGACCGACAGCGCGTTTCAGAGTGCAGAGTGTAACGAGCCTCGTAGCCCTTGACTAATGAAATTACTTTGTTAGATACTTGTCAGATGCATGAAGTAAGTTTCAAGTACAGAGCTGATGAATGTCTTGAGAATAAGGGACAATATGTTGTCAGTAAAAGTAACTTAAATTTTAATTTTTGTCATAATGGTATGAGTGACAATGTGTCATAGGAGATAATGGGTCAGACCGTTTCCATGGTGACAAAGGTCATATTCCTCCATTCAGATTCAGATGTCAATATTCATGATGCGGATAGTCAGAGCGCAGGCGTGGCTCCTTGTAGTACCCTTTCCATCACTTGAAATTGAATTTCTCACTCATCAGTCAACCACCCCTTCCTTCCCCCTCGTCTTCCCAGGGACGGTTCACAATCGCCGCGAAGCACCACATCACAATTGCCGAGGTCTACGAGTCTGAACTGGTGGACATCGAGAAGGTACATCTGCACGTGGGCCGTTAGCCTTGGTGAACATCCCTCGCCAGTGTTCTGTCACTGGATGACCTGGAGTTCTCTAAGCTGTGCTTACTTTGTGCTTAATTGAATGTTAATTTTATTAATAAGTCATTTGCTTCTACTCCCCCCCCAGGCGATTGCCCACTATGAACAGGCAGCAGATTATTACAAAGGCGAGGAATCTAACAGGTAAACATGTGACACTGTGGGTTATCGGGAGGTTGTCTGTATGAATTTCTGGAGGGGGCCCTTAACCCACAACTGATCCAGGGACTGGCTGCCCCTGCTTTCTCAATTGTACGTAGCTTTGTGTAAAAATGTCTACTACGCAATTTTTTTTTTAAAGTAAATGCATGTGTTTGTGATTAATGTGACCCAAAGCACAGTTTAATGTGAACCGTGACGTCACTGAGGAGGATGTTCTGGAGGTTTTAGTGGAAACGCCCTGTGGGGATTAGAACCGCCGTCCCGGTCTGACCGGAGCTTGTTTCTGTTCCCTCATCTTCACGGAAGCTCTGCAAACAAGTGTCTGCTGAAAGTGGCATCGTACAGTGCACAGCTGGAGCAGTACCAGAAAGCCATTGAGATCTACGAGCAGGTGGGCGGCTCTGTCATTCCACACTACGGGCAGCAGGTGGCATAGCAATTAAGGGAACGGACTGCTGAGTCAAAAGTCCCAGGAGGGGTCCTGGTGCAGTGCAGAGAGTGAGAAGCTTAACCTGAACCTCTCCAGTAAAATATCCATCTGTATTCATTACCAGAAAGAGCCGCTTTGGCCTGGCTAAAAATACTGCAGAATGACACTTTGGTGGCTCGATGTTAAAGTGTGTGTGTTTGTGGATACATATATATAATATAAACTTTTTTTAGGTTGGAACCAACACTATGGATAACCCTCTACTGAAATACAGTGCAAAAGAGTATTTCTTCAAGGCTGCATTGTGCCATTTTATTGTCGACGAATTAAATGCGAAGGTCAGTATGTGTTCAGGTGCATCTTCGTGCCCGTGTGTGTGTGTGTGCCCGTGTGTGTGTGTGCCTGTGTGTGTGTGTGGTCACCAGTCTTTCTGAACTTCATTAGTGATGCAAAGCTTAAGGAGCTGCACCAGGTACAGCTACAAATGTCCCTGTACTGTAAGTTAGTGGGTGTCACATCAAAAGCCCTGTGCTGGAATTTGTTGTAAAATGACTCATCTTGTCATTTTTCTTTGTCGCTTATTTTATTTATTTATGTATTTTAGCTTGCTGTGGAGAAGTATGAGGAAATGTTTCCAGCATTTTCTGACTCCAGAGAGTGCAAGTTGTTGAAGGTACGTTAATTAGAGGGACCCTCTGAAATAAAAGCAGACTTTGATCATAAGTGGATCAGAGTCACTGCTTAATAAGTCCTGTGCAATGAACCGTATTCATCATAATTACAGGAGAACGAGTACAAGTTTTCAGATGCAATGCGTAGCGTATATATTGCACATTAGTTTGGTAGTTTTTATTTCAGTGCTTTTAATGTTAAATGTACAACTTAATATTCCACCTTATTTCTGTCAGTTGAATATCGTAAATAAAAATTGTCACGTTGCATGTCATATAATGAAATGCATTTTATTTATGAAAAAAGGGAGGGGGGGTCCGAGGATTGACAGTGGCAGGAAATTCAGGTGGGGGTGAGGAACCAGCACTAGAGGAAAAGGAAGGATCTTGCGGAAAGGGCGGAGCCCACTGACAGTCACGGTTGGGAGGCCTAAGGACATTCATCACTTTCTAAAGTGAAAGATCATTTTGGCTTCATGTTGATGGAGATTCTTATTGTTCTTTGCTTTTCTTGTGAACACTTTTGGACTAACACTAGTTATTATTTGGGGAGAGTGTGTCAATGCAGGATGTGTTTTTTTTTGCGTGTTTTGCAGAAAATTTCATTAGGGATTATTTAAAGCACTACACCGTCTATAGAGAGACTAATAATCAGTGTCAATGCATGAAATCTTCACATCTTTGCAATTTACGAAAAGCCAAGTGTTGTTATGTTATGTTATGGAAATAATATAATCAATATTCCTTTAAAACTTAGTCCTGTGAGACTAAATAAATTATGCCCTGGATTGAGATGATATTGTCCGTATCATGATACGAGTATTGATTTTTCATAAATTTGTTGTAACACTATGAGCTCGTCTGCATAGCAATATACAAGCAAGGCTGTGGTTCAGACTAAAGCCATAAAGCCAAAAGAGGACTATCTGGATGTTCCCCATCTGTGTAGTTCAGACTACATATTGGATTGGATAATATACCAGTCAAACTAAGTAAGAGTGCACTGCTTTTACCTCTGGGGCTCTTAAGAAAACTTTTTGGGAATTTGAGTGCAATTGAGAAACCACCCTGAACTTTCTGAATAATGTTTTTTTTAAATATAGCAATTTATGTATATCTAACTGGCTTATCCAGAATCCTTGTGTTCTCTCTACAGAAACTTCTAGAAGCTCATGAGGAACAGAACAGTGAGGCTTTTACTGAAGCAGTAAGTTATCTCCAAGTTAAATCGTTCGTAGCGTCAGCCAGTCTCGGTAAGCACATTTACAGATACGTTTTTGTTGTAAGCGGTGGCCTCATGTGGTTCATGCCTTTTTGTTAAGGTTAAGGAGTTCGACTCCATCTCTCGCCTGGACCAGTGGCTGACCACCATGCTCTTACGCATTAAGAAGACAATCCAGGGTGATGCTGGGGATCTGAAGTGAAGTCAGGGATCCCACGTTTCTCTACGTTTGTGTCCTAAGGTCTGCTTTAGGGTCTCCATCCTCCTCCCTCCCCCCCCCTCCCGAACGCGACCCATGTATCCGTATGACTATCACTGCAGATTTGTCCGGTTTATACCCCCCAGGTCGTCTTCTCTCTTCCCGCAGGATGCGGTTGAACGTCGTGGCTCTTTGGTGGCATTTCCGAGTGCAGTTTCCGCAACGTTAAGCAGCCCAGAACATTCCAGAAAACTGAAAAAAATGGCATTTCCACATTTAGACACTTACCTGGTTACTATTGAAGGTCTTGCTTATTGTACAGCTGTAATTATTTAGATGGAGTGGAAATTCAGTCTATTTTGAAATATTTAAATAATCACTTACGAGTTTTTTTTTTAAAAAAAAGCAGTGTTCATTTCTTCTCATTGCTGTTTGTTTCTTGTGGTTACACCATCTCATTTCCAGGCACCGTTCAGATGCATAAAGTCTCACGCAAGATGCTAAAGCGCTAAGGCCATCTGGCTTTCCAGGCAGGAACCTCTGAGGAACTATTTAGACCCCTTTGTAATTTATTTTAAAAGCATTATCTGGCTCTGCAGCAAAAGGATAAACACAGAGATATGTTAACCAGAAGGCGCAATGAAGTATTAAATACTGTTTTTTGTCGCAGTAAAGAGTATAATCTAGGTTTCATCTGGTCCCAGATACCCACAAAGTAGCACAGATGTAGTTGTGCAATGAAATAGAGAAATTAAATGTTTGTTTATTGACCATTTAAGGGCAGGGTGTCTGCTTTTGGCTCAGAAATCATCGTTACATAATGGGAAGTGATGCTCTGTTCAGGTCATGGGAGATGCTAAGAATCCTGGGGGTGTCAGAGGTACCGAAACCTTTTTTTTTTATTTTTAGTTTTCCCTTTGCTTCCTGGGTTTATTGTTCTCTTCACCGCCACCCTCCAAATAATTCTGACTGTTTCCCATCACTGCTAGTACTATACCTACGCTGAGCGGCCTGTGGATGGATTTTTAATTTTTTTTATTTTTTGCACGGTTAACTGAGAGAGACACATCCGGTCCCCTCTGGTACAATGGCACTTTTATTATGTCTTGTGTAACGTCTCAGTGTGCTTAATGTCCGTGTTGTGAGTATCTACTTGTTAGAGGTGAACTAGCTATCCCCAGGATCCCGCATACGAGCATGTCATCACATGTAATTAGTGTTAAGGTATTGTGACGCGTAACCCGGTTTTTAACAACCAAAAATAAAAAGAGAAAGTGACCCACGAGTCTTTCCACTTCCTACTGTATGTATTATTGTATTTCAGTTTCTGCTAATGTACAGTAATAAAGGAGGGTCTCTGAGCTGGTCTGCCTTTCATGGGTCTTCGATTCTTGTCCCGTCTTATTTTAAACCCATTTTGTTTGTGCGCACCAGCAGCAGCTTTACATGTGTTGCAAAGTAATTAGGCTGACAGCTGGACTCTCCTGGAATGAAAGCCTGCGGGACTCTGTATGTTCCTGTCCTACAGATCATGCCAGTAACATGTGCCAGAACCAGGGGATACTAATTGCCAAAACACAAGGTTTAATCTCCCTGCAGTCCTGTCGACGTCACACAATACATAAACAGCTGCCCTTAATTCAACACTGAACTTTATTCTCCTTAAACACCAAATTACACTGCAGTTGTACTGTTAAATTTGGTATGTCACACCCGAGTACAGACAGTTGTGTTATATTCATCCTAATACACAAATGTAGTACATTAAAAAGCTATGTCTTAGTCTACCAGCACATAACCTGCATCTGACAAAGCAGAGGTCAGATGTTGTTGGGTACATACTGCAGGAATGAAGATGAATGATGGTAATGAAACTGTATCTTTATGACAGGTTGTGCCACGTTGGGTTTGCATTTACCATCTTAACCATTCCAGCTGCGAGGAATATCTGATCTCAGATACATCTTTCGACTGAAAGGATAGCGGTAACAGCGAGACGGACACACATTCACCCATGAAAGCGTGACCTTAGTGAAACTATCACACGTCTAAAAACTGCACCAGGGAACAACAGAACCTTTATCGTGTTAAGGTAAAAGGACAGGCCGAACCTAAAGTACAAAACAGCTGTCTGTAACTAAGAAGCCTACATACTGAAATACTTAATGTAGCTCAAAGAGCACTGTACAGCATCTGGTCAGTTATGAATTATATACATTAAGTGTGCATTACAATGGGTGTAAACAGCCCTCATTAGTATGAGAATGTCTCAATGCTTTGAAATGTCAAACATAAACAATTAAATGCTACACAAACGGACAAGATGTCGCATCATTCTTCAGCACTGGAAGTGTTCAGTGCTATAGAACTAAAACAAACAGAACCAGGCACTCAGATTATTTACAGAACTGCTAAATTTATCATTATTTAGTTCAAAATGATGCATGGGCAGATTATATGCATTTCATGTATTTTTAGACAAAACCTTCTGATAGCTGAGATCTAACCCATTACAACAGCTACAGTGGAACTAGATCACATTCATTCTCTAAAGACAGCGGAGTTTAGCCCTACATCGCCGTGTCGGACACGCTCTCGGAAGTGACCTCCATCTCCACGCTCATAGTTTCTACAGGCACGTCCTCGGTCACCCCGAGGTGTCCGACTGCGGCAATCTCAGACACCTGCTCCGGGTCGGCTTCGGGGTCCAGCTCTGAGGACTGCACCGTAACGCACACCTCGTCGGCGACGGGGGTGCACGCCGATAGGGGCACCGAAACGGGGACGGAGAGCGGCGCCGAGATAGGGACGGACAGCGACACGGGCAGGGGGATGGAGACTGTGACTGGGAGAGGTAGCGGGTCAGCGCCACCTGCTGACTGGAGCTGGCTCGCCTGCACGTCGGTCTGGATGACGGTGAAGCCGCCCAACGTGGGGTGGCTCACCAGGGCGATGGCGCCATGCCCGGCCGTGCTCCAGTCCCCCGAGATGGTGACAGACTCAGCCTGGACTGTGGTCGTCGTCTCAGCCTTTACACCCTTACCGGCACCGTCCAGTTCGCTCTCGTCCTCCTTCTCCTCCGTGCCATCCTGCTTTATCCTCTTTGGTCCGCTCTCCACGTTTCCTTTAAGCACCACCAGGTAGTTCTTCCATGGAATGTCCTTGTCATGCGTCTGTGGATGACACCCCAGCTAGCTGGTGACATGACTTGCGCTTGTAAATCTAAACTATTCACTTAAATATGGACCTGGTTTAGGTATAAACTGATATTGTAATTAACACTGCAAAATACACTAGAAATTATTTTTAACTAGCAAAACTCAGCAGATTAGGGATCTGCGCCCATGTCCACAAGGTCATGGGATTCAATTCCCTAGCTGGCAGAGTGAAAACATCACCACTGGGCCCGTGAGCAATGCCTTTAACCTCTGCCCCAGGTACGCTGGCTGACCCTGCTCTCTGACCCCAAGATTTTCTCTCCTGTACGTCACTCTGGACAAAAGCATCTGCTCAGCTGATGTAATTGTAATGTGAAGGTGAAACCACTTTTAGCTACAGCCATAAAGATATATCAGATCATATATAAACAAGCAGATGTGTACTGCAGATCCAAAGTGTAAACATTTAGTTTCCTAAATAGTCTAAACAGCTTCTGCTTCATGTTGTTAAAGGACAGAATGTTCTTTAGGTCACGTGACTGCTTGATCTCTCGGACCTGGACCCCCCCCCCCCGGCCCACTGCTCACCATGGTGTGCCTCCGGACGGTGGATTTGTCCGTGAAGGTGCGGTTGCAGAGCACGCACATGTAGGGCTTCTCCCCGGTGTGGATGCGGTTGTGCCGCTGCAAGGCATTCAGCTGCGTGAACTGCTTGCCGCACTCATTGCAGCTGTATGGCCGCTCGCCTGGCATAGGGACGACATGGGTACGGGTCAGGGTGTCGCGTGACCCCCACACGGCCCGACCCGGACTCGGCAGGCGGTTCTGCGGATTACCTGTGTGTGTCTTCATGTGCTGGTGCAGAGAGTTCCTCTGCGCAAATGCCCGCTCGCAGATCTCGCACTTGTATGGCTTAGACCCCGAATGGATTCTGGCGTGGTGTTTCAAATACTCCTTGGATGCAAAGCTTTTCCCGCAGCTCTCACACATGTAGGGTTTCTCGCCTGATTGGTCGAAGCAAAAAAAAAAAATGACTAAAAGGATTATTAAATGATAAGGATGTTAACAGAAGGTGTCAAAATATACACCATGGATACTATATATACTCATCTGGTACATTTGATTGGCTAGCCAGCCCCATACCTGTGTGGCATCGCTTGTGATAGGCCAGCATGTGGTTCTGGGTGAACCTAGCATCACACTGATCGCAGGAGAAAGGCTTCTCGCCCGTGTGCGTCCTGTTTGACAAAAATTGCAAGTTAGCACAATAGGAAGTTAGCACAATAGAAAGTTAGCACAATAGGAAGTTAGCACAAATAGCAAGTTAGCACAAATAGCAAGTTAGCACAAATAGCAAGTTAGCACAAATAGCAAGTTGGCACAAATAGCAAGTTGGCACAAGCGTTCAATGTAGTCTTCAGATACCCATTATCCTCCCTCCAACCGAAACAGTGACATACCTGCGGTGGGTCTTCAGTGCTGAGCTCTGCGAAAACTTTGCCCCGCAGTCGCCGCACTGGTATGGCCGGTCGCCCGTGTGCGTCCTCTCGTGCAGCACGAGGGCCGTCTTGGAGCTGAGGGCTTTGCCGCAGATGGGGCAGAAATGGCGGTCGGCACCGCCCTCATGCACCTGCCGCGTGTGCCTCTTGACGTCCTTCTTGCGCTTGAAGGCCTTGCCGCAGACGTCGCAGGGGAAGAGGCGCTCGTCGCTGTGCACGTGCCGCTCATGGATCTTGAGGTTGCAGCGGTTGGCGAAGGTCTGCTGGCAAGTGCCGCAGCGGTACGTAACCTCGGGCAGGTCGCCGTGGCTCACCATCAAGTGCTTCAGGTAGCTCTTCCCGTAGTGAAACGAGCGCTGGCACTTCTCACAGCGGAACTGGACGCTCCGCTTCCTCTTCTTCCCCTTGTTGCCTTCCTCCTCACCCTCATTGCTCTGGAAGTCCAGGTCGTTGGGATCGTCTTCTGCTGCTTCCAGCTCGTCGGTGTCGCTCAGATCAGGCAATTCATCAGACGCCTGCCTGTCATCCCCGACCCGCTTCTCCCCGTCAGCTCCGGCCCCGAGCCGCGCCTCCTGTGGCGCCCTCTCGCTCTGCGTTTTCCCTGACCCCTGCCGTGCTTTGTGCTGCTCCTTCAGCCTCCTCCCGTACTTTCTCTTGGGAGGATTTACGCATACTTTTCGGCCCGCTAATCTGTTACTCAACCTCCTGCCCTGCACTTCAGGGGTTATCTCTTTGTTCTTTACTGTCCTGTTTGGAGAATCTGGTTTTTCAACCACACTAAATTCCTCTGAGGTAGCTTTATCTGAACTGGGTTCTTCTAACTGCAAACTTGCTGCTACATTGCTCTGGGTGTTTGCCGTGGTTTTGCCATCGTGTGCTATGGGATCTGTTTTGTATGCAACACTGTCTGTTTCAGAGACCATAAATTTATTGACCCCACTGCAAGCTTCCACGAGGTCCTGACACTGTAGCGCCTTGGCCATTTCCAAAATGCTGCAAGTCCTCTCTTTCACAAACTCTAAATTGGCACTGTAGACAAACTCCAAAAAGCTGGCAAAATCATTAGCTGAGAGATTGTCTAAACAGACTTCGCTGGGTGGATCCTTTTCTAGCAAAAGGCTTCGAAAGTAACCACTGGATGCAGCTAATACCACTCTGTGAGCCTTGAATGTCTCCATCTGGCCACCAGAGTCTACTTGGACTGCAATATCACAGAGATGTCCCATAGTCCTCAACTGACACATCTGCCTTAGCAAATTTTCATGGTACCCCTCAGAAACCAGCTGAAGAGAAAAGTCACTCATGATTTCTCACGTCTGCTGGAAAGGGGGGGGGGGGAGAAAAACATTCCATCATAAATGTCTCCTGATAACATTCCCAGTTTTTACAGTTATTTGTATTGGTAATTGTATAATATAATTCCATGTCTGCCACATACAACGCAAAGGAAAATTTGTCATATTTTAAATATTGCATTTCTCAGGGGTATAGATCATAAAAAATAAGGTCCCCCAGCCGATATGTATGTGATTCTATATTCGTTCATATTTGGTACTGCATCATCTGCAGCTTTAACAGCCAGCTAACACTAGCCGTCACCCATTAAAGCAGCTAGTGGGCAAAACGCGAGTTTGTCAGGATAAATAACAGGCAACCAGACTGACAAGCAGAGGCGCCGATCAGCAGGCGGTGCGTTAATCAGACTCTGGATGGACAGCCAGCTAGCATGCGGTTTATCAGCCTTCGCTTGGCTAGTTAGCCACCTAGCATGCGGGCTAAAAGCCTTTCGGGCAGCTAGTTAGCCGGCTGACAACGTCTGTTTAAACAACGCGACGACTATGTTGACTGCGCGTTAACCTGCCCGTTAACTGGCTGTTAACATTTAAAACAATAAAAAGAAAAAGAACGAAATGTTTTAAAGAACTATCGAGCTGTTATAATGTTTGGGGTTTTTGTAAGAACGGTAAAATTGTAAGCGGCTGTTAGCCGCCCGGCTAAGGCTGCTAACGCCAATTTGAGTACAATTTGGGAAAAAAAAACACCTCAATGTAACTCAATGCACAGCAACACAGTGGGGGGAGAAAGAAAGATGGGGAAAAAGTACACACATCGCCCCCGTTTAGCGCTCCTTACCGTAAGGTTGGTAAAATGGCGGCCTTGACAAATGCGCACGGTTCCAGCCCCGGAAAGTATTTCCTGTAGAAATTGCACCCAGCGCTCCTCCGTGCGCGGGCGGCGGCCATGTTGAGCGGGGTGAGCGACGCGGCAGAGCACAGCTCCGCCATTTCAGTAATGTAAAAAGCGGCCGCACTGTTCATTTCTACTGGTTATTATTATATACATTATAGTGATTAAGCTATACTGTACGTTACATTTAAGCATCAAGGCTATATAAAATCATCACCAGTAGCAATAGTAATAATCATCACCATAGACTTCTCTGTAGAAATTCTCAAATAATGCAGTATGAAATGGAGAGAGTCCTGAGACCCAAGGAAAAAAGTGTCCTTCAATTTTAGGAAATAAGATATCTTACAATTTAGATTTTTTTCAAATTTATTTCTATTTCTAATTTCACAGCATGTTCTCTTTAGTGTACAACAGGAATACATATGTTTCCTTACATCAGTGAAAAGATAAATGCAAAAACAAAATGTCCACTACAATGGACATAAATGAATGGGTGGGGTCTCAGGAGGTTAAACTGAGATGTATGCATAAAATGGCATGTTCACGTTTCAGTGAATGAAATGTAATGTTTTTTAAAATATAATTACCCAAAACAATAATTGACAGATATGTGTTGTTATACGGTGTAGCGAATTGTTGCTCTACAATTAACTATATGTCAGTAAGGGATATCATATTAAATTCTATGGTGTAAATGACTTTTGGTCTGGTCTAAACATGTCTTCTCTCTGCTGTCAGGTTATATGGAATCACTTGAGCAGGACCTGGAATGTTTTCGTTTATATTTCCACATAGGTCTATCCTAACGAGACATATATCAAATTATGTCTGCAGAAGAACAAAATTCTAGAATTGGAAAGTAAAGCAGTTAAGATTTTAAAATGACTAATTACTTAAGTGTGCTATCAAAAACATCTTTTTTCCATTTCAGTTGCACTGCGTAATACATTTAAATTCAACATACAAAATGATACATCTTTCACTGAAAATGAATTGTGCTGTTTATTTTTCAGTCACATATTGCAAAGCATCTGTATTCTACAGTTTTCTCATTCTCCTTCCAGAAGCACATATCCATGACGGGACTGTGGGGAGTCGGGAAACCTGTCCGATGTTTGGGAGACCCTGGATGGGATGCAGTCCCACAGCCACAAATCAGAGACACAAGCTGGAGGAAAGCTACACCAATACGGGTGAACATGCAAAATCCACCACAGGACAGCAGTCAAACCCACAGCCCTGCAGATGGGAGGCCTGGTGTTACCCCGAGTGACCGTGGCAGTCTGACAAAACACAACACACACAACACTGATTATTTAAAAGCAATTTTTGACACATAATGCTGAACATAGTACGACATAAGCTGGGCACAAATACTTCCATATATATAAAAATAGATAATTATTTGAATCTCAGTCATTGAAGTGATGTCAGTTTAATTTTAGAAAATGGTTTAAAACAGCTGATCTTTGATTTTCAGAGATATAAACTTTGTGCAGATTTGCGATGAACGCCATACCCTTTTGCTCCAGAACAAATATACATTTCAGCTGTTTATTCATCCGGTCAACTTAGAGAATCTCGATCTTTAACCAGTCGTGTTCTTTTTTCTTCATGAGATCAATAACATAAGTTCGCCACTCTGCCTTTTTGTCATGGACCTGAAGAGATGTTGAAAAACATTTACTGATGTTTACTGATCGAGGAGAAAAAGAAAAGTGGCACGTGAATGATATTTCTTTCCATTCTTACTGCCACATGTCGCCTAAGAGCGGACATGTCTGTGAATGGCCTCTCACAGGCTTTACATTTAAAGGGCTTCTCGCCTGTGTGTATCCTTCGGTGTCTCCTCAGCGCCCCCTGTTGAGTGAATGACTTCCCGCACTGCTCACATAAGTATGGCCTAGTATTTAAAAAATAAAGCAATGAATCAGGTGTTTTTCTACCTTCCTTTTATGCTGTGGACTTACATAAAATAGTGACATTTTGAATGTTTCTCTAATGATTTCTGAATGTCATTTATCATTATTTATTTATTTATTATTATTATTTAATAAAGATTCATTCATCTTTAGAAATATTGTTGTAACTGAAACTAAAAGGGAATTTTATGTGGAGTTACATGGCTAATGCTTCTGTTCAAAGTGATAATTGTTTACTTGTTTATACGCGCTTTAAATTACAACCACAGATCCCAACAGGGTTCTAGAGAAAGGTGCATAATCTTTAGGTCTCCTGTAAACATCCAGGTGTACAAACTGGTATTTTTGTACACCTATACGGATTAAATCGTCAGCTCTGGAACTGCAGATGATTATTACTGGGGACAGAATGAGCAGCGCTGGAAGTAGGACACCTGAAGGTCTTCCTGCAGGTCTCACACGTGAACGGATTCACCCCCAGGAAGCAGACCTCGTGCCTCTTTAAGTACTCCTTGGAAGCAAAGCTCTTCTCACACATGTTGCACGTAAACAGTCGCTCGCCTTCGGTAAGAGAAGAAAAACCATGATGATGACAATCACAAATAAATTGGAGACAGGAACAATAGAACAGAAGGACTCTATTCACAAAAAATGACAAAAACAAGATACAAGTTAAGATATCGATAGTGTATTAAAGAATAATGTCAGCGATGTACAAATGAAGTGTTGCTTTCTGTGACTGACCATCGTGGCTTGGCAGGTCACAATGGGATAATCAGGGAACGTGGATTCAAAGCCCAGTGCAGGTTGGCTTATGAACTACCAAACAATAATTAGATTATCCCACTTCCAACAGATCGCTCTTTTCGATTTTCATTTGGCTAAATCATTTATGGGTTAATCCTACCAAATATAGCTTAATATAGGCCTCAGTTCTACTGTTACTCTTACTAGCAGATTCATGAATGTGCATCTTAATTTTTAAATGGATAAAGAAACTCAACTGGAGTCATTCAACTGGAATGCAAACGTTACAGATCATATTCTGTGTATATTGTACACATACTCTGTACCTGACTTCACATATGATCCAGTATGTCAGCTACTGTAGGCCGGCTGTAGGGCGTAGTATGTGTTTGTTAGGTAGCACAACAGTGATTATTCTTCATCCGCACCTAAGCAACATCATCAACACAGTGGACATGGCCGCATACATACTATCCCTCCTTGCTGACAGCATTCTATTTTACCCAGAGGTGGAAAGTTCAGGTCCAGAAAGTACAAACCCAGACCAAGATTTTGTTCCAACCAAACAGTTGCGTATAAATAGTCACAGTCACAGGGTGCTGAACTGGTTGGTTGGAACAAAGCCTTGGTTTGGATTTGTACTTTTTGGACCTGAACTTCTCACCTCTGATTTTACCGTAAAGTGTAGTTTTTGCTCAACGTTCTTCGTTTTCTTAAAAACTAGAAACTAGAAAACTCTTTCCTTTGGCTTCCTATGGGTTTCCAGTGATATCAACATTCCAGTGATATCAACTTTCCAGTGATATCAATATGAAATGGTGTTATTTAAATTATATTGATTCATATCAAACGGTGGTGGGTGGCTCAATGGGTTAGGACTGGTACCCATGATCAGAAGATTATGAGTTGGAATCCTGGGGCTGGCAGACTGATGCTGTCATTGGGGCCCTGAGCAAGGCCCTTAACTCCCAGCTCCAGGGGTGCTACTTACTGGAAGAGCCAGTGCTGTGTCTGTGTGTGTCTTAGAGAGCAAGATGGGGTAAAGCAAAAAGACAGTTACCATTCTAATCTAAACCAGCACAAATGTGTATGACAGGAAGACATCTGGGAGAAACCATCAACAGAACCTTTAGTCTTATAAGGCACTTGCCCACCATGTGTCATGATGGGACTCATTATTCCACTTCCAGGGCTGAAGGACTTACGTCAAGCTGGGTCCACCTTGCCCCCCACCCCCCAGGCACAAGTTCTAGTGAATGAGGACCTTCGTGGTCACATGGGTCAGAGATGCTCCTGGTCAATGTCTCCGCCTTGTGTCTCCTCTCCCTGCGATCCTCAGAGGTCTGTGCAGACTGAAACTCTCCTGGGCCTTTTTCACACATGAGGATCTGCTGTCACGGTGTATGGGCCTCTCTTCTCACCTTCTCCAGGACTGTCCTTGTTTTCTCCACAATCCGGACCCCCAGTGACCCCCATTGTCTTCAGAACAGTCATAGATACGTTTGCCCGGTCAGTTTCAGCTTTAATGCCACGCATTTGATGATGCTTGGTCTCTGTATTCCTCTGTTGTTGGTCAACCTTTTATCTCCAGTTCTTGCCACTTCTTCCAACCTGGGCAGGTGGTCCAGAGGGATCTCTACTACAGCAGCGTAGAGAAACTCCAGAAAAGCTGCAAAATCGTCAGGGTTAGTGTTTTCAAGGACTATATCTGGAGGCTGGTCCCTTGTAGTGTCCCCACTGAGGAGAACATCTCTGAAGTAACTACTGCATGCAGACAGGCCTGCCTAGTGGACAGGGAAGCTTCTGCAAGCATCTCCAAGCTCTGTCTGGATGATGACATCACAGAGATGTCCACCTTGGTAAAGGAAGCTGAGAGATGTGAGCAGGTTGCAAGCTGTGACCTTAGACTCTAGTGTTATATTTATCAGCATATTCATAAAGATGGCTTATCACTAAAACCATCTGCACTGTCTTCTGAAAGCAAAACAAGCATTAATGTAGTAAGTGTCAGATAATCTTAGCCAGTCATTTTGAGAAAATCCACACTAATAACTCTATAATGCTATTTTCACTGGGTCAATCATAACCTTGACTAGTGCATGCCACCCTGAAATGTGGAGGTGAGAATATTCAGTATCACATTCTTTTAAGATGCCACATGAAGGACAATGTCCCTCCTACACTGAATAAAAGCTGGAAGATGTTTACACCTATGTGGTGGCCTGATACCATGCAAAACACAGAAGTATCCATCCATCCTCTGAAGCCACTTATCCTATTCAGGGTCTGGAGCCTATCCCTGGCGGAGACTCGAACCCAGGTCCCAGAGGTCACAGTGCTAACCGCTGTGCCACCCCCCAGATATGTGACAAACACCATAAAACAGCTGTGTAGTAACAGGTGTGCATGTCAGGAAACGATTCATTAAGAA